TTGGGCGTAGAGCGCGCTGTGTGTCGAGTGGAATTTCGGCGGGCAAAAAACAATGCGCGCTCGCGCGCGTCATTATCATTCTGCACGCGACAAGACAATGAGAAATGCCTGGACGAATGTGGAACGTGACCGTACGCCAAATATTGAACGGGTGTTTCGTCGCGCCGGCACGCGGATATACATATATTGCCGGAGCAAATCATCGTGTCACAATTACGTGATTGGCAATCGTCACCGAAAACCTCCGCGCATCCGTTCCATATACAGGCTGACTCATATAATTCATCGGTCGAGTGTCGTCTTTTTTGTAGCTGGCGAAGATTGAATCGTACGTACGGCCCGAAGAATGGAACACTTTTGGCTGGCGAAAGGGTTCCTTTCGAGAGGTTGATTGCAGGAAATTACGAATGAGATAATTTGACCTCCCCCCTCTTCAGACGGTTTCGTCAATGGTTGGGAGGGATGTTAGTGAATTTGTATATTTTCTGACCCACTAAGACCTACATAGTTTTGCTTAAACGATTATCCACGCGTAATTTCAACACACAGCAAGTCCTTACAGCTTCGAGATTGATTTCAGAATGTTATCTTTAGTGGTAGTTGAATATCAGTCAACCAACAAATCTCTTTCGATACGTACGAGAAGCTTGCCGAATTTGAAACATTGCAGAGATTAGACAGCACTACTGCAACTTGTCATGTGGAAGCAATTTGCTCTATATGATAGACAATATTAACTAAGTATATAAGTAAAACATATTGTACATGATATAGTGCAGATTATTTACAGACGACAAATTTCAATAGTGGTCCAACCCAGGCGATGGTCGAAATTCGACAACCTTCCCCTGTAACTACACAGTGAATGTTTAAATAAATTCACTTAAGAATTATATACACATTTCGTGAAAGCAAGGGATCAAATGGTAATTCGTTTGATTTTATTCGGCGAAGAAGAAAAGAAAATTAGGGATTGCAATTTATCAGAAACGTTACTTTATCCAAGACGCTACGAACAATTGAAACGATCGAGGTCGAGTTCTTCAGCGACACGCTCCCACACCCCGTTAAAACCCTGTAACACCTTATCGTGTCCGCGGAAGGCACGGTTGTTCGACGGGCGAGGTGCACGTTGCACGAATGCCTCGTCTACCGTGACAAAATGAATTCTTCGCGCGAATGAGGAACTTCCTTTCACCTCCGTCTCGTTTTCAATGAAAATTCGCTCGGCTCCTATCGCTCGAATCTGGTTGCCCGTGCATACTGGCTCCCACTTTATCGATACGCTCGAACTTATCTACCCAAGAAACCTGGAGGCTTTTCGCCTGTCCCCTGGTAGGGAGTCGACGTGTTTCGATACTGGATCCAGAAAGCTTGTGTGACTTCTGAATGAAAAAGGGGAACTGCTGAAATGAATCATTCATTCATGAAAATGACCGTATTTCCATGTTCCTCGGGAACATCGTTGGCCCACCTGTTTCGATATTGGGCGCATCAAGATCGAATGATATGGAATGATTTATTCGGTAATGAAATTGTTTGTGTATTTCTATCTTTAGGATAAAAAATGACGTAAGGGAAAGGCCTACTACCACTTGGTTTCGTTACCGAAATTTATGTCAAATTAACATTCGATTTCACATTTATTTCAGGACTTGAAATAAATTTACCAAGTAGTAAGAGGCCTTTCTCCTACGTCACTTTTTCCCCTAGAGGAAGCCGAGTTTGCTCGCGGATGTACATGGATCAGAAGTCTTTTCAGTTCTCCACCCGCCCTGGTAGCAATAGTTTACCTCGACAAATTCTCAAAGTAACCGATAGTAACATCGCGATAACTAATCCGTGGATCTTAACGAAAAAAAGTCCACGTGGCCATTAGCGACTGGATATGTATCGGTCGTCGACGGAATAGCGGGGAAATCGAGGGAATATCGTCGAGATGATAGAGCAAGGAGGGGGGGAAGGGTCAAGGGAGATTCGGTGGTCGTACACCGGCTGCTCAAGCTCGCGAAACGTTTCCCCTTATCTGCTGCTCGGCCGTGCACAGCGACTAAAAGCTCTGACCTATGGCAGTCGGTCGGCGATAGGCCGGCGCATTCCTCTCCGAGTGCACCCTCTGAATGGGCCGCCTGTTTCTTCACGAACACACACACACACACACACACGTATCTCTGTGCGCCTCCATGTATGTATATACATACGTATATATCCTGCGTGGGTTCACATGTGTTCGCGAGCACACCACCGAACCTCGCCGATTCACGGACCATTTATGTAGGATCATCCAATGGGAGAGCGAGAACACAGAGTTTCGACGATTTATCGACGATGTATTTTCTTTTCTTTTTTGTTCCGAGGAAATTTATAGATCCCTCGTGTCTCTCAGAGAAATTTGTACTGGTGTACTCTGTCTTGACACTAGCTAGCTTTCGAATAATGTACTTTCACGATTGCACATTGATAACAATAATTTACTGTAATGGCTGTAAATTCGCCCAATATACAATCGAATAACAGAAAGAACGTATTCTGATAAAATTGAATTTAATCGTAATTAAGATTAAAATTAAACGAAGGAAGGAAGTTGTCGTTTCGTTTTCTTTTTTGTCACCCTGTGTAGAGAGACAATTGAATGATTCTTCCCAGCTCTTAGTCGTATAACTTCCGCTATGTGGCAAAAATCATAAAGTGTATCCTCGAGTAGGTTTAATCTCTATTCAGATATTAGAACCTTGTTCGCCCCAATAACAGATCGAAAGACCGTTCGAAGTTGCAAAGATTGAGTTACTCGAACTTGATTGGCGAGAAGGGGGTGCCTGTTGTTCTCGTTATCGGACACGTTTCGCTCGACATTTCCAGACGACAATGGATTAAGCCCGGCGGCAGCGGTGTAAATCAACGGGTTGCTGCTCGCTTCCTAAAGGGGGAAGATTGAATAGCAGAGCAGCACAGGAAGTTAATGTATTCGGTTTCGTAAGCGTCGGGGCGCCGGCATCGCCGCAACGATCCCTCGGGTACCTACACAGCGGATGCGTGTAGGACGACGCTGCGTAGTGGTGTGCCGCGCGGCGAACAAACGTCGTTTTCCTTCCAGTTCTGTAGGCACCTCGAGAGAGTGGGTCGGAGAGCCGGTGTTGAACGGATTACGAGGCAGATTTAATGTCATCGGGCTTACCTACGATCGCCTCGCTCCGTCCAATTATGTCCCCCCTCATACCAGCCGTTTTACTCTAGTTCCAACGCTATCGGCCGGGCAATCGTCGTTTGAATGACTTCTACGTGGAAACGACCACGCGATCGAGAATTGTCCTTAACGAAGACGACGCGCTGTCACCTCCCCTGACGACCATTTTATAGAAATAAACGGGTGCTTATTAAATACAGGTCGATCAAAAGTTTTTACACTGCTAAATCTTTCTTCCCCGATCAGATTGGAAAGGCAAATTTTCTAGGCAAGGTAGTTCTAGATTTCTGGGCCTCTAGTACAGTGGACTCTAACTATATTGCCACTAAGCATATTGCCACTAAGCATATTGCCACGCGAGACACTTCCCCTTGACACGTCGCTCTCCCACCACGTTCCGTACGCCGGCGCACCAGTACGACCCAGCTTGTGCGCAGGCGCTGAGGCATAGGCTACGACGATAGAGCCTAGCACGGAGGGGGCTCTGAACTCATTGCCATTTTACTCCCCTACAGCCCCGATCATGGCGATATAGTTAGAGTCCACTGTAATTCTAGACTTCGGATGCTCTCGTCTACATTCACAATGTATGTACAAATACTCGTGGCCCCCAAAGTAAGTGGGCATCAAACAGCTTCTTCTGATCTTCGAACGTAGTCAGAACCGTGTTCGACATTATCAAATATTCGAAACATCTGAAGTCTTACGAAAGTCCAACCAGCATTCTAAAAGAGAATCGGTTGGATACAGGCCTGAGGCAGCAACGTCGCGGATAGGCGGAGGACAGGACGATTGGTCTCGGGCCGAACAAAACGCTCGGTTCTTCCAGAACTGTGGGCGCTTCGAGTGGGCTGGTGACCACTGAATCAAGAAACTCCGGTGCACGGGCCTGGCTGCGCCCACTCGCCGTTTCGCGCGCTCGCCCACGTACCCCCGTAGAGTCCGAGCCTCTACCTCGAGAAGCGACACGTAGGTAGTGAGCCGCGCATTAGGCATCGTTCGTGGCCGAAAAGAGGTGCGATCCGAATATTCCTTTTGACTTGGCCTGCCTCGGCTGAATCCTCCTGCCACGTGTCAGTCGATCCTCTTCGAATTGAAAATTTTGGTTGGTTTTTGATCGTGGAACTTTGTTGAAGGACTGCTTCGGAACACGGTTCTGGAAACCGTGCAGAAGAGAATGTCGCGATAGCTATTCTAATTTCGAGTTGTGGACGAATGGGGTTTGCGTAGGTAACGTTATCCGGTATTGTAAATCTTACTCGAGTGTAGAATGCAACGAGCCGAGGTGGCGCGGTAGAATGAGCAATTCAATTGTCCAGTATCTTTTCGCTGGGAAATGTTAACTGTTTAAGTGTAGATAACGCTAGTCTGAGACACACGAATAATTCGACAATAATAACTTCGTAACACTTTCGACAACTATTCGAATGTGTGTGATCGAATAACCAGAGTCCTCGAAATTTTTCATTAGGTGGTGGATAGTGAAAGGAAAGTTCAAAAATTCATCATTGACACGAGTGGTCTGTAGGTAACCCTTTTATGCCCAGTGGGAAGTATACATGTCACATTTAGAAAGTTGTATTTCCAGGAGGGTTTTGTCGTGAAAATACAGAAAAGGCGCGTAAAGTAATTTTTCCCTATTTTTGTACTATTCTAGTTCTTATTTAAGAAAGATGTACTACTATGTGAACTCTGTCGACTTTTATTTTTGAGAAGACTTACTACTTACGTCGTCCGACACCAAAATGGTTAATATTCACGTTTGTCGAGAAATGAGGGAGGAACCGATCATTAAAGGATTGATTACCATTTTCAGGTGGGGATGAAGCGCGTGTCGCGAGGGCGAGAGGAAGCGGACGCGGAGCATTACCGAGCACCATCCTCGCTAATGGAACGCCCTTGCCGAGAGTGCCACCACCTCGCGCGGGCTGGGCAGTGCGGATCAACGAGGCGACACTCACTACGCAAACTCAGTCAACTAATCGTCAACAACAACAACAGCAGCAACAACAACAACATCATCAGCAGCAGCATACGTCGAGTAGTCCAGGTACACCGAGAGCCGTCGAACAATGGGCTAGCGAGCGGGCAGCATCGTCGTCGTCGGCTTTGTCGGTTCGTGGTACCACGTCACCATCATCACCAGAAGCAACAGCAAGAAGATCGGGAACAGGATCATCATCATCATCACCAGGAAGGGAGCAACAGCAGTACTCGTCGTCGAGTCGAATCGGAGGTGGAAGAGGAGCAGGAGGAGGAGAAGTCGCAGAGGTCACCAATAGTGGTATCCATTTCCCGGATCATTGGCAGGAGGAGGAAGAGCTGGAGGCGAAGAAGAAGGAGGAGCACCGGAAGCATCGCGTGGACGCAGTGGTGCGTTACCAAGCCGAGCATCTTGGACTGAGATCCGGTCGGCCGATGTCGCAGAACAATGCGATACCGCCGCTCTCGCGGCCACCTTCCTCGCAATCTACAACCGTTGATCACGCAGCCGTTCCCAGCCTCGACGTCAACACCGCTGACGACGAAGACGCGCATTCCTCTCCCGTACGCCCCGTCCAGATCGTTCACCCTATCCGTCGGCACGATCACAATCGGCCGTTTCCACCCCCACGAGTACCGGCCACGCACCTCGCGACGGGACCGCCGACACTACCCTTGACAACCACCAACAGCATCATCTCCACGTCACTCGTCACGACAACAACAGCACCCACGACCCCTCCTCCGTCGAACCCCAGAGTCCTGGTCACCGCGCCTCTCAGCCCGTTGTCGAGCACCTTCCGCAGCAGGCCACGTAACGTGGACACGTCGAACGAGACACAGAGCCCCAGGCCGTTGTTGTCCACCGCCGATACTCCACCGAGAAGTCCGATCGGCGAGGTCAGCCTGACCGTGCCCCGACCGGACGGCGAAAGGACCATCAACGAGTACGTCGAGGCGCCGTTCAAGAACTGTTGCCTGAACCAGGACCAACGACGTGTCGACGATGAGAAACGTACCGCGGTCGATTGCCCGAAGATCGAGAGGAGGCATCAACGGCAAAAGTGTCTGTCGGACGCGTCACAGGTCGCCGCCACCCATCACAGGCTACACGCGACTAGAATATCGCGTCAGCAGGCGTTTCGGGGTGGATCGAACACGGTTGGCGCGAACCCGGTTGCGTCGTCCACCGCGAACACCACGACGGTGAACAGTACCGTGACCAAGCAGCCGGTCTCGTTCACCAAAGAGCCGGCGAACAGCCTCGCCTCGAGGACCTATGATCCTGCTGGTCTCTCGATAATGTGCAATTTTTGCGGCCGATGTCGGTGCGAATCGTGCCGGGAACCGCCGCCGTTGCCCAGCAAGTGGTTGTGCGACAACAAGTGCTTCTGCTCCGCGGACACGATACTCGATTACGCGTCTTGTCTCTGTTGCGTGAAAGGACTGTTCTATCATTGCGTGGACGGCAGCGGAACGGGAGGGATGGACGGCGAGACGGCCGGGAACTGCGCGGACGAGCCGTGCTCGTGCACGGGGAACAGAACGGTGTCCAGATGGGCCTGTCTAGGAGCACTGACTCTGGTGATGCCGTGTCTGCTTTGTTACTGGCCGTTCAAGGGCTGCGTCGCCCTCTGTGAGATCTGCTACGCACGTCACGCCGCCCAGGGTTGCAGGTGCAATCCCGGAACGTTGGGGAGCTCTGGGTCCTCCGGTAGGCATCATCCGGTCGCGAACGACATTGGGGACTCGAGGGACCCGGAGAAGAGGTTGCTCGACCCGGTCACCCCGGAACTTTAACCCCCCTGCGGGTTGTGTCCAGACAGACGAGTGGGGGGGGGGGACAGCTAGCAGTGGGACATAATGGAGTGGAGACCCCCGGTGGGTGTGTGCATGTGTGTGTGTGTGTGTGACGCGGTTGCACGGATGGACACACTTACATATGGGAGCAAAAAAAAGTGAATCGCATCAAGTACAAGCAGTTGCATTTAAGTCGAGAAACGATAATATTGTACACGTTCGAAGCTCTGTGGACGAGTTTGTACGTCTGACGTCGCGAGTGTTTTATTATTTATTATTCTCTTCCATGCGCGCGCGCGAATGTGAGAGAGATAAAGAGAGCGTGTCGAGAGAGAATTGTGCGGGGGGGAGTTAGCGTGTGTTGGGAGAAGGAGGGTGTAATAACTGGACAGAGAGAATGGATGGATGGATAGAAAGCATTGAGCTCTACAAGGTGTGTCCCACCTAACGTGAGCACCTTTAATATCCCAGTTGTTTTCGAAGATATAAAACAATCCGAAAGGATAGTATTATTTGGATTAAAAATATTTTTTTCTGAAAGTTGTATTTTTCGAACTTTTAAGGTGATCGACTGTTTTCTTTTAAATGGGACTACATGTTTTTATTAGCGTGGCGTAATACCTGAGATCAAAACCAATCCAATGACCTATAATAGTGGGACATTCGTATGGCCTTGAGTACGAAAAATCCACAAATGTAAGAAAGTAGATTATTTAAATAGTAAAGTAACTACGATAGAGGGATTTGCGCAAAAATGTATCAAAGCTGTGAGCATCACTTTGAGCATTTATTGAAATACATTTTCTGCGAATCACAAGTTAAGTGAGGTACTAAAGGTACTCGCGTTAGATGGGACATTTTGTATACTAACTGGAGAGCGAATGTGCGAAAAAGTAGAGGCAACTGGAGGTCCGACGAAAACGGAAGATATTCTGTGAACCTACTCTTCTGCTTCCTATTATCCTCTCAATCTGTACCATTCTGTATAGTACATTTGCGTGTAGAGGGGCGGTATAGATGCCACGCCGTGTTCTTTGCACGTCTATAAGACTAAGTTCACGACATATCTTCCCTCTTTCTCGGAGCAGTACTCATCCAACGGTTCACTCTCTAATTAGTATAGAGCTCAATGATAGGAAGTCTAGGGGAGAAGATATATAGGGTAGAAAGAAAGAGAGAAATGGATGGCGGAGAAAGGGCGAGAAAGAGGATGATAAAAGGTACGCGAGCGTGCGTATTACGCAGAGACATACCACTTACGTATAGATAGGTCTGTACACGATAAAATATATAAATAGTACGCGCACACACGGAGCGAACGAGAGTGTATGGAGAATGAGAGAGAAAGATGGTAAATAGGAGAAACGCTAAAGTATATTAAAACGCGAGCACGTATATATACAAATTACACGCATACGTGTACCGTGTATAGATGCGTGTGTGTTGCGTACGGCGTGTCTGTGTTGGTCTGTCGCGTTGCCCATCGCTTCTTTTCCTCTGTGAATGGGAGCCAGCGTGATCAAAAAGAGGGGAGAACGGAAGAGGATTAATGGAATTTCTACTACAATATCCTCGAACGAGATACCACTAGTCTGACAAACATATACAGTAAATCATCGATGAGTGTTCGAAGGCTCCTCGGCACTGAATATTAAACATTTCGTAAACTAATGGCCATATACGGTCGAAACAAATATTATTGGCTTCGGAATTTCACTGTGCTAAACCTTATTAAACAGTCAGCTTTACATACGAGTATCACTCATCGATGATGTACTGTACAATGTGGACGGGCAAGAGTCGTATCGTGTTGCGTATGAAAATGTATCGTATGGCGATACGATACAATGATACGCAACGGTGATACGATATAAGGATACGCAACAAATGAATACGCACTGTACAGTAAATAATCGATAAATGTTCGAGGGGGTCTTCGGTGCTGAGTGTTCAGACACCATCCACACTATTGGGCGTTTGACTGGTTCCACGAGGGACCCCCAGCGGTGAAAATAACGTCTGAACACTCAGCGGCGAGGATCCCATCGAACACTTATCGATGTATACTGTATACTCGTCTCCTGTACAAAAACTTTATAACTAGACTTCCTGTTCCTCCTGCGGTCTCCTCCACGAGCCATTTCGGTTGAAATACACGCCCAAACCCCTAAGTTCCCCATATACACGTCGAACCGATGGGCCGCGATATACGTCAACGCGAACACCCTGTATACGCATAGGCTATAGACATGTACATTGTATTCAGAAAGTAGGAGAGTTTTAAAGAATCGTGTTCGATCCGCCGTATGGCTGTCGATAGGAAACGCGTGAGGGAGAATCAAGAGGAAACGGGGGGGGAGGGGGGTGGCACACCGCGAGGGGGCCGGAGAAGAGCGGCGAAGAAAGGAAGTTGGCAGACGAAGAGGGGCATTGGTGAAGAGTAAGAAGGGGGGAAGGGACGAGAAAGAGAGAGAGAGGATGCTCTGAAAAGAAGCATTGTTCGCGTTTCCGAGCGTTTTCCTCCGGTCTCTCGATCCACGGGGAGTATATGTACCATGCACACACGCTTTTGTACTCGTTAACGCTTCGCCGTATGTATCGAGCGTGTATAACCGAGGGTTACGACGCGCCACAGATATCGAGATAACGCACGTAGCGTGCGTGCGTGCGTGAGACCCTGGATCGTCTGTCTCTCTGTGTAACAAGAATGAACGGGGGCGGCGGATGTGTATGTGCGCGAGCCTGTCACGTGGGTGTGTGCGTACGGGGGTTGGGGGAGGGGGGTGATGCGGGCAGATGGTAAAAAAAAAAGGGGACGGGTCCCGCGAGGGCGTAGGGAGAGGAGAGATATCCGGGGGACGCGCGTCAACGTCTGCTCCGCCGATGGAGAGGACACGGTGAGATGAGATGAACTCGTAAATTTAAGGATCACACACGGAGACGCGATTAGTCTCTACGGACGGCGTGTGTCCACTTGTCGGGAGACTCTCGCTAGTTGGTTTTATCTTCTGTGAACGACACTTCCGAACGGCCATTGTTTGTGGCGTCGAAACCGTAATAAAATATGTTTAAAATGGAGCCAAGAAGCTGGGAGGGATATGGCGAAGAATTTTCTCCCTGTTTCTCTCTCTCCTAGGTTCTTGGCGAAGGCATTACGCTACTATTTGAGTATAACTGACACGTGGACACGTGGTGTGGAGGGCCCGCGGTTCCCGCTTCCGCAACAGTGAAAGAAAAAACTGGCTCGAGTATTCGACGAGACAGGGCGAATGTAAATAGATATCCCGTGACTGGTATAGGGGATGTATTGGTAACGGGGTGAAAAAACGTAATTCTGGTCAAACATCTTGGATTATATATGCTGTACAGAGAAATGTTTCAAATAAATGTTATTTCCTCGTAGAAGCGTAGAACCTTGTACGGCGTTCCATTGAAAAACACACATGACGGGCGAGGGGGGCGGGGGAAGAACCTGTGGTGCGCGCGCAAAACAGGTATATACACCCGGTTGGCTCCGTCTTTAACCTTTTCGCTTCAGCGACCTTTCGAGAAGACGTGTCTGTGCACACGGCATTCGGGAATTCGGATTGCTACCAGATGCTCTGCAAATGGGTGCAGTAGTGTCGTAAGGCTGATATTATTCTATTTCGAAAGTGATTATCGAGATATTTTCAGAGACTAAGTCGCTTTATTCAGTCTCCGGTAACCACGGAGAACATTCACCTGTCTCACGATCATGGCGTCCGGGGTCATACGTGAAATTTCGACAGATGACTGTAATCGCCTTTAATATCCCACACGGCTGTACAAACAAAAGGGTTAAAACAAACGGAGCTGTACCAGTTGGGTGCATTCTACACAAGTGTCTCAACCGTTCTTTTGAGGGTCATTGGACGATTTTTGGCACTCTTCGATTCCCAGAAATATCCACAGCCAGCCACCGGATCGGTTGAAGCTCGGAAGATCACGTACCAAGGGAGCACAATCTACCCACGTTCCGAACACAACCACGCGCATTGACTTTCGTCGCGCGCACAGTTTGGCGATAGCGGCGGGTTACCACGGGTTAACAACGCCGGCCCCAACGGAGTTCACTGTGTCTCTCCCGACACTCTTGTGGCGTACGAGGCGTCGTCGCTTCCATATCGTTTGGATTCTCGTATTTTTTTCCCAGTATTATCTAGTCGTGCGCGAGTTTAATTAATATCTTTTTCGGTAGAAATGCGCGAGTGAGGCGCAGGGGGATAAGAGGACGCACGCGCATGGTCGACGAGCAGTGAAGGCGTGAACGGTAACGAACGTTAGAACGGGTTAAACGCGTGTCGGGGGTAATCGTTTTCCTCGTTAGTTCGGCTTCGACCTCGCGAGCTGCGATTTTTGGAATAATTAACGCTTTCGAGGCCGCTTATCCACCGAGGAGGCCCGCGAGACGAGTCTCTCTCGTCCCGTGGTGTGTTGTTTAATTGCACGGTAAATGGCGCGGCGCTTCCCAAGCGGACCGAGGTGTATATAGGGTGTCTCGTTTCAGTGTGACCACCCCGAATATCGTTTCTGATTGCGAAAACGTAAATAATATTGTATACGTGATTTAAATGGTCTTAAGAGTCAGTATTAATTGTTTGATCTCGACTAGTTTCTAAACTCACAAGACCGAGGTTAAAGTTTCTAAAGAGTAATATTACAGAAGCATGAAATTAGTAAAAATAAACAAACACAGTATAATACCATCTACTGAATTTATCACGGTATTTAACAAAATTTAAAATTTTTAGAACAGTTAAGAACTCGGGCGACGAAGTGGTGTAGCGGGCCCTTCCTCTACGCTGCTTCTTCCTTTAGTGGAAGCCGAGTTTGCTCGTGATATGTGTTTCTCGATCACCCAAAACGGAAGGAAGACTTCTGGTGGTGTATCGTTTACAGACAGACGAATACGGTATAAAGAACCTGGCCGCGCGGCAAAAGAAAAGTCGTAAATTCTCTTCTGTCCGGGCCGAGGAAATTACTTTTCAAGGACTCGC